TGCTTTTTTTTTTTTTTTTTTTTTTACTTTTACGTCTGTATTCGCGCACTCTCTCTCTCTTGCTCTCTTGGTCCTTCTTCTCTCTCTCTCCTCTCCTCTCTCCTCTTCTACTTCCCCCCATCCCTCCTCCCCTCTCCTTTGACTCTTCTCCTCATCCCTCCTCCTCCTTTTTCCTTCTCTTCTCTTTACATCATCCAACCTATATTCTCCTCTTCCCTCCCTCCTCTTTTTGTCCACTTTGCGAAATTCTCCATTTCCTCCTACCTCATATTTCAACGAGCTTTTCACTAAGTATCGTTGTCACCGTGGACTGGGACCACTCCCTTTGACGCGAGAACTGGTGTTTGTCGTTCATATTTTCTTTTCGAAAAAGCGCAAAAACACTTCAAAAAGATCTCCACCGTCCCCTTCCCCATCCGCACCCCCTAACACATCCCTTGACCCCATCGGTTATTCGTTCTACTCGTTCGGCTACAAAAAAGAAAACAGAATCAACTAGCGATCGACTAGCTCGTCTGTCTTGTTGACTTGCTCGTGCTTGATCAATTGTCCGCTCTGCCATCCCCCTTCTGAGAGTCACACGCCTTCAACATCGATCACCAAACTCGTGCGGTAGCAACTCTCAGAGCAATTGCGCGCATCAAAATCATCCACGACCGTCTCGCTGCTTTATCTGCCCCGTGTTGTGAAAAGCGCCATACTTCTCATGTCATTCAACTAAACAACACCTTCCATACCACAAGAACAGAGCCGCGGCTCGCCGAGCAATCGCTCCCCTTCTTCTTTCCCCCACCCAGGATCAGGGCGTGGCGGACGTGTAGACGGTTCGTATCTTGAGTTCCTTGCGGTCTTGATTGTTTGTTGCTCATTGGGTTCCCTGCTTGCCATCGGAGCCAATAGGCTAACACAGCGCCTGGACACAGCCACCTAGTCTACCTTCCCGCACCTGAACTGGTGTCAACCTCTTCCTTCTCACTTCGTCATGCCATCCTTCTACGCTCCTAGCCTGCAGGGCCTTCCTCCGACCCCGCCTCACATCGTGAGTGGTGGCCGCATGGAGCACGAGCAACCTTTCTACGTCCTGGGCCCCTCCGCTGCATTCCCGCCTCGGTACTCTCAGAACGGCTGCGAGTTCATCGAGCAGTATTCCCAAGCCAATTGCTATCCCAAGTCGGCTGTCAACATGAACGCTCAATCCCGGGTTGGAGTACGCAACGGCCGCGAGATGAATGCCGCCCACTCTGCGATGAACCAGCCCATGTACGGCGCCATGGCCACCGCCAATGTTCTGCCGCCGCTCCGCAACAACGTTCAGCTGCCCCCGATGGACAACGGCATCGCGCCCCATTACCGTCGCCAGGACATGATGGTGCAAGAGCAACCGCGCAAGGAGGAAAAGGCTACTGGAGGCGTCGCGGCGCACTTGGACTATGAGATGGACCAGATGTCCGACTACGTGGCTGAAATGGCCCAGGGAATGTATGCTTTGTACATCACCAAGATCAACCTTGCAGATATTGACTTAGCGCGAAGCGTATACCCAGGATCGTCGGTCACCCCCCAGTTCCGAAAATACGTCTACCAGATTTTGTCGTCGACTCGGCTCCCGAGCTCGACCATTCTCTTGGGTCTCTACTACCTCGCGAGTCGGATGCGCATGCTCTCTTCGGCCAAGGTGTTCCACTCTGGAAGCGGCCAGGTCTACCGGATGCTCACTGTTGCTCTCCTTCTGGGAAGCAAGTTCTTGGACGACAACACCTTCCAGAACAAGTCGTGGGCTGAGGTTAGCAATATTCCAGTCAGCGAGTTGAACTCGATGGAATTGGAATGGCTCTTCGCTTTCGAGTGGAAAATCCACGAGCGCATCCACGACAAGCAGGATGGGTTTGCTACATGGCTCAAGCACTGGGAAAACTGGCGTGCCAAGACGGCCGCCCGTGCCCAGGAGTCTCGCCACGCTCTGGCACCCATCGACACGAACGTTCCCCGGCCCCATCGTGTCTCGAAACCGCTGCTCTCCCCCGAAGGTCCCATCCCTCCGCAGTACCAGCGCAGTTCCACCTTCGAAAACTCCTGGCTCAACCCGACCGCCTCTGAATATTCGCCCCCTTCCGCGCCGCACAGTGGCCCCAACACACCGGACTACTTTGCTGTTGGGCCTTGGGCGTACACTAACCCGCCTCCGCCGTACACGCGTACTTGGGTGCCCACTCCACAACAGTACATCCCTACAGCGCCTCCATCACAGCCGCCGTCGTACCATCACACTCCGGCCTACGCTCTGCCTTTCGCGCAAAGTGTGTGGACTGGCCATGGCTCGTCGTGCGGCTGTCTCTATTGCATCAAGCCTGCGGAGCACTACATGTGCGCCAATCCATTCAGCTCGATGCAACCGATTGTCGCTTAGTGGTGCCACGACTCTCATCCGTTAAGCGTCATCGTGCTGGGGAAAAAGTTATTTGTTTCCTAATTCGACTATTCTCGACCTCGTCTTTTCACTAGACCATCTTATTCGCATCGTCCAAATTTTCCGCTAATGATACCGTGTTCCATTCGTGTTCCTTGCATGACTACCCGTTTTATTCGAGTCGGTTTCGATTGTGTTATCCGCTGAAAAGTACCCGCCGTCAATTTTCCTGGCTTTGCCTCAAAAGCAAAAATCGAAAAAAAGTGTCCAGCTCGGGCGTCGATGATCGCATCCATCCTCATCTCTGCCCGTTGCCTCTTGTGATATGGGACTCTTCCTTTTGTTTCACTCGAAAATCTTCTTTCCAAAACGGCCTCGTTCTGAATGAAAACATTTACTGGGCTGATTTTATTTTACCTTACTGCTCCAGGGATCCTCTTGGATGGATATCCCCGGAGTCAGGAGTCACGACAATTATGAATGTTTATTTTCCGCCTTTGCACGAGTTTTGTGCCTCGTTTCCGCCTTCGCGTCTCCTTGATCTTTTACCCATCTTCTTCGGATCTGGGCATTTTTTCTGGCAATGTTCCTCATAGATTGTTTTTTTTTCCTTTTTTATTTGACCCTGGCTGAGTTAGGATACTGGCACTTTCCTTTTTGTCCATTTTCTGCTTGACTCCCGGGGATGTTAATACCTTTGTCTTCGTTCGGTTCGATTCTTCGATTTTTCTTGCATTGTTCTGCTCTGGTCGAACAGATTCTACGAGTCATTTGTTCTTTCCACGACCGGAGTCATGCACTTCAAGCCATTGTGGCGCGTTTTCGGCTGCGAGGTTTGACTGCTCTTGGTTGTACATTATACCATGTTTATCTTTTCTTCTTCTCCCTGAATATCCATCATCACCCTTCATTTCGCATTGAGGGAAACTGAGAAAAAAAAGTGATACTCTCCCCCTTACGCCCTGTTTATCCTCTTCCTTTTTTTTCTTGCCTACGGTGATTCCGCCGGCTTATGTGTCTTTCTCACCTTCCATTTTGTCCTTGACTGTAAGTTAGATTTAACTACTTTCATACCAACCATTTGAAATCTGGGAAATGGAAACATACCTTGAATTTCCGGAGTTACAAAAAAAAACCTGGAAATATCATCACAAGAACCTTTTGCTCTCTCCACTGAAAATGTTCTAGTAGTTAGTTACTTGGTTATTTTCAGCGTCCTGTGACATACTCGGTCATCTAAGGGACATGCTTGTCACGTGACGTTTCTTAAGACAAAAGTGTCATTGATTAGGTAATCAAGCCCTCTGGACCCGCCGCTGTATGCTAGTTACAGTCATCGGTCCTGATGAAGGCATGGATACGAAGCCTAGACTAGAAGAAAAAGAGAGAAAATTAAGGCGGCCTACAGCTCGACTCGCCCTTCTTTTGCTCTTCAAGTGTAACTAACCGCAGCAGCCGGGCGAAGGAAAAGTGGGGTATATGAACATTTCAAGGACATGAATTGGGTGGCAGGAAAAGGTGGTTGATTGTTATAGTCTATTTTATCTTGGTAGGGGGGTTTGTTCATTTGCGCACGTACGTCTATTGTTCATTATCATCGAAAATCTGAACTCGTTCGGCGTATTCACGGATGTTGGAGACGTAGGTCTCTTCGATGTGATCGCCTTGGCCGGCGGCCACGCGGAGGATGAGGTCGTTGAGGGAGGCGCGGCCGAGAATGTCGACGTGGTCTCCTGTTTTTTTCTTTGGTGTTAGAGTGATTTGATTGAGGGAGGGACATGATGATGGGTTGGTGATGTGCGGAGGTGCCCGTGGGGCGGGGGGGGGGGGGCGGGGTTCAAATGGGGAGTGAGTGTGTCAGGGTTTCAGATGAGGAACAGGAAAGGGAGGAACGAACCCGTGTTTGGCCCACCTCTGGGCGAGAACCGGTCCGGCTCATGGGGCATCTCAAAGACCTTGATCTTCACCCCGGCCGGGTTATACCGCTTGATGTGCCAGCCCTTGGCGCACATGTAGCCGGTGCTCAGCAGGTTGACGGTGCCGTCGCCTTCGCCCATGTGGACGCCGTGGTCGACGCCGTCGTTGTTAGTGACGGTGGTGTCGATGCTAACGTTGAGGTTGACGAGGGGGTCGCGCTCCTCCTGGTAGAAGTAGCTTCGCTCGGTGGGCTTGCCCACCCCGTAGAAGCAGTAGATCTTCATGTCCGGGGCGAGCGGGAGGCGGGCCTCGAGCGGGTTAAGCCAGGTGCGCGGGTTGTGCTCGTTGGCCTCAACCTCGCGCGCGGTGTGGGCGACGCCGTGCGAGTAGCTGGCCAGCACCTGGTGGCGGTACCAGTCCTCGCCCTCGTCGAGGAGGTAGTTCAGGCTCTCGGTAATGGTCATGTTCTTGATGATGCGGCTGGTGCCGCTCTCGCGGAAGTTGAGCAGGTTGCCATAGGTGAGGTTCTGGTGCGGCTGGTCGTCGGGCGCCCACGTCGCGTTGCCCCAGACGGCCTCGCCGCCCTTGGGCAGCATGCTGGAGATGCCGGGCATGGCGCGGAAGATCTCGGCGCGCTCCTCCTTGGAGAGGAACTTCTCCAGCCCGTAGACGGCGAAGGCGTTCAGCTGGGCGGTGTCACGCATCTCGCCAGACAGGACGGCCGTGAGGCCCTTGACAGCCCCGAGCATGCAGCCACTGATGTTGATCCAGTTGGCGACGTGCCGGTTGACCCAGTCCGAGCCGCCCTTGCCGTGCTCGGGGTTTTCGACCCATTTGAAGAAGTAGAGCACGACCTGGGAGCCCATACTGTGGGAGGCGAGGGTGACCTTCTCGCCCTGGACCTGCACGGCCGTCTCGATGTACGACTTCAGGCGGCTGAAGTACTGGTCCCGGACCTCCATGTTCGGGTACGAGAGCCGCCAGTCGTAGGCCGCCGTAAACGCATTGGTGGGGTCGTAGCCAATGGTCGCCAGGTTCTCGAGGACCTTGTTCCAGATCCAGTAGCCCGTAATAAAGAAATCGGTCGCGTCGAAACCCTGCGCCGCGCGCAATTTGATCCCCGGGGGGTCGAGCCCGGTGTCCTTGTCCAGCATAATATGGTTCTTCCACCCCGGTTTGTCGAGCACCAGCGCCCGCATCATGCTCCAACTGCCCCAGAGTCTCTTGCGGAAGTACTGCCGGGATGAGGGCTCGGTGCCCCAGCTCTCCAGACCGGTGGAGATCACCCCGGGGATCATGACCATCGGGTGTTTCGCCTGGAAACCTTGAGCCTGCAGGTGTAGTCCGACGGAGAAAGGATCGTAGTTGACTGTGTCGCGCTCATGTTGCTATATAGATAGTCCCATCTCGGTCAGCAATCATCTTATTGGGGTTCACTGCATGCACAAAGCATGGTTGCATTGTCTGCCCGCCCACATTTTCTCCGACGGGCGCCGACAAGGAAGATAACGTACGGTGAATTCTCTCGCATCGTTCAAGAACCCATGCGGCATCACCTCCATCAGGGACTCGATGTTGAAGTCCATTAAACTGTCTAAATTGATAACGTCCTGTTGGTTGGCGAAGAGCACGGCGACCAGGACTCCGAAAAGCCCGCCCAGCGCGAAGATCAACCCATTGCGACGTTTGCTGCGCGGCTTGTGGATGAAGGACTCGGATCGTTTGGAATGGGAGGGACGGGCAGCTGCTGGCGAGTCGGTATCGGACTTAGACTTGGACTGGGAATTGTCGCGGGAGGAGGAATCGGAGGAAGGCCGCACCTCGTGGTTGTGGTTATGGTTGTGGTTGGGCTCCTCCTCCTCCTCTTCCTTGCCCACGCGACGCCGGAGCATCACCGCCGGATTACAAGGTCAGAAAATACTCCGTGCAACAACTCAGAAATCTCGGAGGAGCAATGGCATAGATGAGATAGCGACCAGGAAGCCAGATTCAAAATCAACAGAACCCAGCACAAAGAAAAAGATTGAGCGGGATAGGAAAAAGGAAAATAAGGAGGGGGGAAGAAAAGCCGCGGATGGAAAAAGGTTGAAAATCACATGTTGGGGAAGGAGAGAGCAAAGAAAGAAACGGAGCGGGAATCGGACGTCATCCCGAACTTCTTCTTTTCTTCCTTTTCTCTTTCTCTCTCTTCTCGGTTCTCACCATCTCCGATTGAAGGTGTAACTTGTGTCTGTCTGTCTATCTGTCTATCTACTGCACACCCACCCAACCAGCACATACCCAATCATCATCCCACGTCTCTGTTCCTGAATCAATTCGCATTGCTACCCTCCAATGCCAATTCCACCGCTCCAATGAACCCGAATCCACCCCCCGCATTGTCTTCAACCGCCACAGCAGCAGCAGCACCAACAACAACAACAACAACAACAACAACAACAACAACAACAACAACACCACCAACACCATCAACAACCACCACCTCCACCACCACCGCAACAGCAACTAATACCCACACCCCCCTCCGCTACGTCCGCTACGATGGCGCCCGCGAAGACGAATATGTCCCGGCCATGCGCCAACTAATCTCCAAAGACCTCTCGGAGCCCTACAGCATCTACGTCTACCGCTACTTCCTCTACCAATGGGGTGACCTATGCTTCATGGCCATGGACGACTCCGCCTCTTCCTCCCCCGCATCCGAAACAACACCATCCTCATCACCGCCGCCGCCGCCGCCGCAGCAGCAACCGCGCATGGTCGGCGTCGTCGTCTCGAAACTCGAACCCCACCGCGGCGGACCTCTGCGCGGCTACATCGCCATGCTAGCCGTGAAGGAGGAGTACCGAGGCCGGGGCATCGCCACCAAGCTAGCTCGGATGGCGATTGATGCGATGATTGAGCGGGATGCGGACGAGGTGTGTTCTTCTTCCCATCTCAACCTTGCCTTCCACCCCTCCCTCAATCATCCAAACAAGCTTCAGCTCAAGCTAACACAAACCACCGCGAACAGATCGTTCTCGAAACCGAAATCACCAACACAGCCGCCATCAAGCTCTACGAACGGCTGGGATTCCTGCGCAGCAAGCGGCTCCATCGGTATTATCTGAACGGGAACTCGGCCTATCGGCTGGTGTTATATCTCAAGGAAGGCGTGGGGTCGATGCGCACCACGCTCGATCCTTATGGGGCTGGGGCTGGGGCTCCGGCTCCGGCGCCGCCGTATCCCCTTCCTCTGCCCGGCGGTGGTGGTGACGCACAACGAGGGGGAGGGGCGGAGATGACGGGGGCGCTGGCGGCGCCGGAACCGGCCCTGCTGCATGAGAATGGCAGTGGGGGGTGGTAGGTGGCCACCTGGCCAGGGCGAAGAAGTGGACACAGACAGTATTCAAAGGAGCCTACTCCAAAGACACGATTGCTCCCTCCCTCACATGTCTATCCTTTTCCATCGAGGGCCGAGCTGGGCGGGATATATTAGACCACAGTCGTTCCCCATACTTTCATACCGACTGCACCCTCCCTTTACCCAAATGACCTACTAATGATTATGTGTATGCATGTGATGAAAATGATTGATGTTTCTTTGCTTGGAACTTGGTGACGTTGGAGGGGGGGTGGGTGGGGTGGCATCGTGCTGCAGATCATTAATTGCATTTGGCTGAAACCACTTGGTTATAGATTCAGTATAGCATTAGAAACTTTTGTTTTCTTGGTCCGGATTGCACATTCACAGATTCCCCAGTGTTGTTGTCTTTATCTCCCGCTCTATATCTATAGTTAAACATCTATTTACAATTATGGCTCAATATACATATATATATACAGGGTCGCCAAGGGCCAAGAGGTGGGTAAACGGGTGGGTGAGTGAGGAGTTGAGGGAAGGAGTGCGACTAGCTCATGATCATGGCAAACGTATAAGGCCTAGCAATAAAACAGGGCCACAAGATGGCAAATTGGGGGCAGCGGAAGCGGAAATCATTCACCGCCGCCGCCACCGCTGCTGCTGCTGCTGCTGCTGCTGCTTCTTTTTCTTCTCATCCTTGCGGTCGTGCGGGAGTAATTTGACCTGGATGACGTTGTCGCGCATCCATTCGAGGGTCAGAGGCTCCTCGCGAGCGAAAGCCTTCTCGCGAGCCAGTTCCTTCCATTCCAGATCCACGATAGTCGCAGCGTCGAGCATCGCCCGAAGTGATACTTGAGGTTTGTAAAATCGCCCCACATCCATATCGCGAGCAAGGATCGCCTCGCTGACGTTCAGCTGGTTGTTCCGCTCCGTAGGATCAACCTGGATGCACAGATATTTCACCGGGTCTGCGGCATATTCAGCCGGCAACCCCTTTAGCCTATAAAACCTTCCGCCCGAGGTCGGTCGGGGCGTCCCCAGGTCAATTCCGAGGATGAGCCGCGCCGCGACGGCCCTGCGGAAGGTTGTGTCCGGGCCAGCTTCGTGCAGCAGGGATTCATAGACCCGCTCGGCAATGCGTGAAGCCGCATGCCCTCTCATGCAGGCATACCGCCATAAGACACGGCAAATGTTGTAGTATCCGCCGTGCCATGCGTGTAGGAAGAGTCGCGTCCAGCCGGTGACGTTGAGTTCTCGCGCGGGATCCTCCATGGTCTGGTACATGTATTGCAGGGCCTGAAGGATGTTGCCCTTGTTGCATGTGCCCACGAGAAGATAAAAAGTGTAGGGCTCGATACGTAAGCCATTCTGCCTGCAGAATTGGAACAGTTGATCTCTCGCTTTCAGATGATTCACTCGCATGACGGCGCACATCATCTGGTTGACCATACTCGGGCTCCACATCGTGCTGTCCCAGTCCCGGGCTATCTTTTCCAGAAAAGAGTTCATGTCGCCGCCGTCATGGAGATGCTCTACCAGAAGGTCGTGTAAAACCGCGCGCAACGCTGTCCGCTGTAGCGTGGTCTTCTGCAGCATCCCTCGCTGCCGTAGACTGTTCACTACTGCCATCTTCTTGGTTGGAGAAACAAAGCAGTCAGCAAAAGCAAGCCAGGTCTCGACATCTGCGCGGATGCCCAGATTTTCCATACCATGCAAAAGGTTCCTGAACCGCTTCAGGTTCTGCTCGAGGGCCGTCGACTTGAGCATCATGTTGAAGGTTTCCACGGTTGCAACATGTTTTGCAGAGTGGAAAATCTGGTGGGCGATCCAATACTGCTTGCGCTCTAGCAAGAACGACAGGGCTTGATTCAACGACGCTGTTGATATCAATTCTGTGTGGGCGCTTTTCAGGAATAGCGTCTCAAGAGCATCGGCCACATCCGCACCGTGCTTACCCGGCTGCTCCCTGGAGTTGGGCCAAGACGTGATGAGATCCTCCACATGGTGCGTAAAGTCCCTCACAGTAGCTAGGAGCTCTCCCTGGCGGACAATCTGATCCACAGTGAACTCCGTGGGATCCTTAGGCATATCCCACGTGCCGCGAACCAAGGGTATGTCTTTGTGTATCCGTCGGTCAACCCGAGGGTAGATGGGAACCACCGGTTTACGCATGTCGACGACCGGATCATATTCATCTTGCAGGGTCCCGATCTCCAGCAGTTCTTTCTTGACCTCCTCCACGGCCGCCGGTCGACCCTCCAAGATCACCCGGCGACACATCCCGACGCTCTCCGACAGCGGCTTAACATGCACCTTGCATCCGTGATACACATGGCGATAAAAGATGTTCTCGCCCCTCGACACCAAGCCGGCGAATTCGGCGATCGTCTCCTCCCTTAGATATAGCTCCAGCTGGTTGGACTTCAACGGGGCATGTGCCGGAATTGCCCGATTCATCCTGAGCATCCTCTCGTAAACCGCAGCCTGGTCCTTCCACCGTCTCTCTATCGTTTTCTGTTGGTTCTTGCGCGTGTTGTCGAGTTCGGATTGTCGGTGTTGTAGTTTCTTTTTATCGCGGGGCGAGATCGAAGACAGCGCAGCAAGACTTCTTACCCGCGGTGGCGTCCATCTCGAAGTGTTGTCGGACGTCGGTTGAGGGAGGGGCGACGTCCGTGAAGCTTGAGGCTTTGCTGCAGGCTTTGTGGCTTCCTTGTCTAGGCCACGTCTGCCGACGGCAATGGAAGAAGAGGTTATTTGTCTAGACGAATAATTTCCGGTCGAGGACTGCGGGGAGAGTCGGGGGACACTGGGTCCACGTTTGCTAGGGCGATGGTATTGTCTGGATAAACTAAGAGCGGGGTTTCTTGTCAAGGACGACCCCCGATGCGCGGGCAGAGACGTAAACCAGGATGGGTAAAGAAAGAGGAGTGGCTCATCGGGGGCAGTCGCGACGTGGTCCAGGACAGCAGGTAATCTGCGCCTCGTGAGATATGGCCGACTGCGTGAAAGCATTGACGAGAGCCCGTAGGGACCGACCCTAGGCAAGAAACAGGGCCAGGGGGTTAGGGGTAGAGGGAATTGAGAAAGTTGTGTCTGGAATATTAGTGGAAGGGTAGAGGCAAGGCAAGATCAAAGCTCCGGTGGTCACTCCGCTGCGGAACCTAGAAAATGTTTTTCCCGGCCAAGGCGGTCAGTGAACGGCCCGAGGTTTTGTGCCCGTCGCCGCCAGCACTCCGCTTTCATTCTAACAAAGGAACTGTAGCAGGGACAAGAAAAGAAGTACAAGCTCTCCACTGAGATCAACAATATTCAGGAGATATGATTAATGATAAAAGTACTGACAAAAACAAGGGGGAGAAAACACAAGCTGCTCCGTGACACCAAGCTAATTCAAAGTCATGAAACCCCAACAAATAAAAAAAAAAAAC